CTCAAGCTTGGTGTGAAAAATATTTGAGAAAGTTTAGTAACTTCCTGGAAAATGGTATTTGGGTCATCCATGGAAATTTGTGGTATTAGTTACGGCTTATTAGACTTGGTTTATTTTTAGAAGCCAAATAGTTTTTACGTTTACTACTGAATGTATTGACATTTTTAAGCCAAGAGTTAAACTGGAACACAAAAACTAAGATAAGTAAGGGACCCTGATCTTTCCGGAAAACTTTCTCAACGCAATGACGTATTCAAACAAAGTGTAGCTAACTAGAAGGTCCCAAAAATATCTATAAGTCTTCATTAAATATTTTAAGCATTGCTATTATACATGTGTCTAAGAAATCTTAAAAAAAGTTTCTTAAAGTTTCTTACGTAAAGCTGTACAGCAAATTAAAATTTAAGAACGTTGGTCTTAATTACATTTATAGTTATTTTTCCATGTTTTTTTAAGCTGGATATTTTGATTGCTGCCTTACAACATTTTTGTCCTAAAATAACGTTTGTTACACAAGCTCTTTAAGATAATAATAATTATAATAATCTTGCTATTTTTCAACATTTAATAATCATTTACAAAAATACTTCATTCAAGAAATTTTATTCGATTTCCGTAATCAATTTCATCATTAGATGAGTTTCATTTTTGTTCTGTTGAAATTTATTACAGTCATTTACAAAATTATAGATAATTGCCGTGAGCTTATGGATGATGGGATTCTTGAGAACAATTATCCTTTTATTGTTGCTAATTTGATGACTTAATTACGACATTGGGAATGACAAATTTCCAGTGATATGTGAATATTTTAATGGTCCCTTAAGTGATGGGCTCGATAGGGCATCTTCGCAGAGCCCAGAGATGTTCTCACTTTCTTGCAAGAACTCAGACACACGATTTTACCAAAAAAGTATCGTAAATAGCCAGCATCATTAAGCATAATTTAGTGGAGATTTCTCAAGTTTTGGAGCTAATGCGAGGCAATTATGGTTTCATATTTTCCAACCAATTGGCGGCAAAAGGCGATCGACGGTTTGCTTTTGGCCTGAAGCTTTGGTCTGGTCCACATGCAGTGGATATCGCCGAGGTATTCCGAGTCCCCATCGGACGCTTCATTATGGCGAGTTGTGCAGCAAAATTAAATCAATCAGAGATAATCTGTCATGGTAATGGGTGCCTGTCCAGTTCCAGTCTCCGGTTTTTTGTAAAACCCCCAAAGCGATCGGCTTCGACTCATTTAAGTGACTCGTGTAATTATTTTAAACAGCCGCAGTGTAAATTTCGTTAAACATTCATCTCCGCTCGAGACTTGGAGTTCATCTAGGCCCGATTTGGGCATAATATGACAGGTAAACAGTTGAGACTGGTGATAAATGGCCAGAGATGTTTTGAACCACATTTAATTGTTTCAGGTCTCTGGGGAAGTGAGACGGCAAATGCAAAACTTTCGATTGATATTGTAAATACGACTTTAATGGCTATAAAAGTCAGCGCTCGCTTTAATTCTGAGAGCCACACACTCGAGAGGCGTTCTGAAAGCTAGTCAGTCAATCATTAATCACTCAATCAATCATTTGGCAAACGATTCCCGGCAGCCTTCATTGTCCTGTTGTTTTCGCTGGAAGAACCTCCAGCATTTCACTGGGGTCTCCAGCTAATCAACATCCCTGAGTCCCCCTCCCATTCTTTATCCCCAGAGTTCCCCTGCTTAGGCTGAATCTACGTCGACTTGTCAACATGTCGTTAACACAATTTCCATACCAGATTGATTGGAATGCCAGTCTCCAACTGAAGGCTGTCTATGTGGTGCAAATTGGTGGGTGGCGAGGAATTTTAGATTCTACTTAGCATACAATTTGATGTAAGAAAAATATTGGAGAGCAAGGAATGGTTTTAAAAAATTTGTGAATTCTTGAACGTACTTGGAATAACTTAAATTAGTTGCATGCATTTTTGAAAATAGCTACCATATAAAAGAACCAGAAAAGACTCATAGAACTTAGGTTGACTGATACCTAAAAGACTTAATATTTTTATAAAAAATGTTAAAAGGGGATAAAATTAAGAAAAAACAATGTGTGCCCATTCCCATGATTAGCATATTCCTAATTGCTGATATTAGTCAACTAATCAGTGGCTGTGGATACCTCCCATTTTGCATAACATTATTCGATCGCACACTCTCGGGCTTCTTAATTTTATATCGCAAAACTTTTGATGGCTGGCTTAAAGAAGTGAGCCGAAAACAAAGAAAATCCCATACTCGAGGCATGGTGGTTCTGTATATAAATTCGCATTGGTGGTCGTAATGTGCCTCGGTGGATGGGGATGCGACATCATTAATCACGTTTCAGTGTGTTGCCTCGTGCAGCAAGTGAACTTCCTTCTGCCGCCGCCTGACAGTCGCAACTGATTGCTGGATCTGAATTGGGATTTCGGACTCAAATGCCCCGGACAAAGAGCAGGCAATAGCAACAAACACACGCTTCCCCAACTGTGCCATCCTTTTTGTACCACGAACCATCCTCCCTGCTGGCGCAAAGCTCTCAGAAGTCCCCACCCCCCGAATCCGGGCACTTTCCCCAACCACCCGCCTGGAGTTTTCATCCACCCAAGGAGCTGTGTCAGAGCTGAGAAAATTCGATGTAGCAGCCACTAATGCGACTGAGTTCAAAAGTTCCTTGAGCACTCGCCAAGAGGAATATAATATGCTTAGGATGCCGCGAAAAGGCTTTAAGAAAGTATTTTAGCTTGGAGTCAAGTAAACTTGGCAACATAAAGTTGCTTAAAAGCCCACAATAAAAATAACTTAAAGAGTTTCTAAGGGGGTGTTAAAAAGTTGTATTTGTAAGTAAAACGTTTTTACCATAGGCGGTAGAGTCCACTAAAGTCCTAAATCAAATACATTTATGTGTTATAAGAAGAACACAATGATACAAATTAAGATAAAAAAGTTTTTGTATTAAAAACATTTTTTACGTTCACAGGTTAGAGACACGGAACTAAAAATGCCTTTTAAGTTTTTAATATTTAGAAAAGTTTTCTAAGAGGTCAATGACCTATTAGCAGATCAATTAAAGTGATTTGTAAACAAAAGGAAGCGTAATGAGCCTCACACACTATTAGTTAACACGCACTCTCATTAGTTAACATTCGCTAGTCAATTAAACCAAACACTTTAACTCGGAATGAAGACCTAAACCAACATTTACACCTATGAGTTTGGCCGACAAGCCGCAGACTAAATTTAAGTTTTATACACTTAACTGGCCTAATGACGTTTTGATGGTGACCATCAAAATCGAATCAGTTGGAAGTCGATTAATTAGTGGCCATGCCTCCTATATCGCCTTCCCCCGCTAACATATGGACCTGACGGCGAAGGTGGCACAGCACGTGGACCCAATTGTGAGGGGGTTAAGATACTTTCGGTGGGATTGTGGGCGGTCCAATTATTCGGCAATTAGGCAGAGTCACATTCGGAAACACACTCCAAAAGTGTGACACGAATTTATGTTCGTTTAGCTTTCAAGTAAAAGGGGTTTCGGCAACCAACCACCTAAATTTAAGAATTTTACTTAATTTAATTTTTATATTTTTATTCGATTTACAATTAAAAATAACTGCTATTAATTTTCCACCTATTTATCCAACTATGTTTCTTAATGCCTACAAGGAAAACTTCTATAACTCATCCATTTTCTTCTTAATGCTTTATATGAGTCAGTCTAAATATTTACTAAAAACAATATTAAAGCGTTAAATGTCCGACCTTCTCGGCGTGCATTATACAACAATCATTCTATCGATTTTCCATGTTTTGTTTGCTTCATTTGAATATTTGCCCGTCATCGTCGTAACAACAACATCGGGGAAAAATCACGGTAGTAATGATAACAACAATAACAGCATTAACCCCAGCGAGACCACAACAATAATCACATAGGAGAACATTATGCCAAAGTGATATTCGTCGGTTGTTCAATTGAAATTACTGCAAGTCAGCCCAGACTCTCCAACTCGGTAGCTGATTTCAGTAGGAGAAATCGGCATCCAATAGTCCCTTTCCTCTCTTCAAGATCAATGCGGTTGTTATCCAAGAGTTTTCTGCATCTAGATTCGCTCCTATAGGAACCCATTTCTGAAAGCGGAAAATAAATGGACTGGTCCATATCCACACTTATGTCTCGTCCGGAATCGATGAAAGCCCTCTGAAAATGGGCGGTGCTTCCATGGCCCAGACGACTTTTTTCCGACTTCAGTTTTGGAGCGTGCGCCATGACTGCCGAGTTACCAACACACTTGCAGCATATAAACAACCTAAATGTCGTATCCGTGAGTGGTCCATACAGTCAAGGTTTGGTAAATAAACACAGTTGAACGCTACAGTGGAGTTGTGCACTATAAGTTCTTACTATGACATCCGAAGAAATAGTTTTAGAGAATGCCATACAATAATATGGAAATTAGATTGTGAAAAACATTCCTATAAATTTGTAAGTATTTAGAGATTAACATAAAAATACAGATACATTTTAAAGCTGATATGAATTATTTGAAACCATTAGAGAGTTTTCTAAAAATATAATAGTCAAATATCCCAAGCTGTGAGGTTTGTTACCAGGCTCAATATTCCAGACCGACAGTGTACACGCAACTCTGAATGGGTGTGACTAAAGATCTTGCTGTCCCGCTTTAGCCTCAATCGTTCTATCTCTGTCGCTCGCGAAAGAGAGAGCCGTTTGGTGGTGGAAAATGGCCACCGCGGAGGAGGGTGAGAAAAGCATGGCTGCAATATACGAATGGCTCACCTTCCATCCCGCCGCGTGTATGTGTGTGTAGGCCGTCCTTCTATTGTTTCTGCAGTGAAAACCCGTTTTGATGGCAATGGCGGTGGGAGAGAGCGAGCGAGAGAGCAAACGGGTGAGCGAAGAGTAGCGAAACAGGTTCGCTCGCGCGGAGAGTTATCGCCAGCGAGCATAACAAAAAATCGGCTCGAATGGAACGGTTCGTGCTCGCAGCGCACTCGTAAATCCGAAGTGTCCGCCTTTTCTCCCAGTGTGTGTTTTAAATTCATAAAAACCGTTTTTTTACAACTGGAAAATAGCGCCATAACAAAGGCTCCAGGGTTACTAAAGTGCCAAAAATAAAGTGCAAACCAAGTCAATAAGTTCTCAAAAACCATACAAGTGAAAACGGTGATATCAGATGAATATTTATAAATATACCATAAATAAATCGTCTTTCTATGATTGGAGTTTTAAAACAAACTCTTGTTTTCGGTGTAAAAGTTGAAAAAGCCTTAATTTGCAATAACCAACACAATAAAATAATTACTATTTACGAGAAGTCGTGAATCAACCTTATAGTTACTGTATAAAAAACAAAAGCTTAAGAATATGTGCAAGCGGAGTGAAAGTACCCAAGAAGATTTCTAAAAAACCAACGAAAAGCCCCAAAAAACCTCTCTGGAGAACCGCGACCCCACAGATCTCTCGTCATGAGCTCGTTCCTCATGGGTTATCCACATGCTCCACATCATGTCCAGAGTCCCATGTCCATGGGCAATAGCTTGGACCCGAAGTTCCCGCCGGTGGCCGATGACTACCATCACTACAACGGTCACTACTCGATGACCGCCTCCACGGGCCACATGAGTGGTGCCGTCGGCGGTGGTGCAGTGTCAGGTGTGGTGGGATCGGTGGGCGGTGGCGGGGCAGGTGGGATGTCGGGGCATCCGCATGCCATGCATCCGGCGGACATGGTCAGCGACTACATGGCGCACCACCACAATCCGCACAGCCATTCCCACTCGCACTCCCACTCGCTGACGCACCACCACAGCAACAGCGCGTTATCCGGGCACCACCAGCCATCCGCCGGCGGTTACAGCTCCAACTACGCAGCCGCCACTCCGCCCTCACACCCGCACTCGCATCCGCACGCACATCCGCACCAGAGCCTCGGCTACTACGTGCACCACGCGCCCGAGTTCATCTCCGCGGGAGCGGTGCACTCCGATCCCTCGAACGGATACGGAGCGGCGGTAAATGTCCCGAACACGAGCAACGGCAGTGGCGGCGGAGGAAGCGGAGCAGTTGTTGGAGGCGGAGCAGTGGGCGGATCGGGCAATGGATACTACGGCGGTTACGGCGGGGGCTATGGGGCTGCGAACGGGAGCGTGGGCAGCACCCACTCCCAAGGACACTCGCCGCACTCCCAGATGATGGATCTTCCCCTCCAATGCAGCTCCACGGAACCGCCGACAAACACGGCGCTGGGACTGCAGGAATTGGGTAAGTCAACTATAATGGGAGGTTTCTTAACCACATTTGGTAACAGTAAGAACCGTCTAGAGATCTGAGAAAAGTCCCTTGAACTATAAAAAGCGTTTAAAGAAACTTATAATATATGTATTAAGGAATAATAATACGTACAAAAAGAACAATGGTATTGGCAGTATGGACTTTAACAGTATTTATCAACGATATATGTTGGTTTTAAAGATTCCGATTTTGTTCTTCAGAATTGCCACATTTAATCTGCGAATTTAATTAAAGTAAACTTTTCAGTCTAAGTATAGACTGTAGTAGTATAAAAATTTGGTTTTGTGTGCTGGTAGTGTTAGTCGTTAATTTTAACTCATCTACAAATAGTTTTAAAGATCTGGCTACAAAACGAATAATATTTACTAAAGGTTTTACAATAGGTTATAAGGCTAGAAGAAAACAATATCGACAGCGCAATTATTTCGTACCCTTAAAATGAAATAGTATCAAGAAAACGACCTTTAACGTTAACAAAAAAGGAATATAAAAATCCCAACAGGAAGGTTTGTTTTAACTTTTAATGTTTTTTTTTCCATTTTATTACAAAATTGATCAACTATAAATTTTAAATCTTGATTAAAAGCCAGTTTTCAAACCAAATAGTTAACAATATCCATTTACTGCAGGTTTAAAACTGGAGAAACGCATCGAAGAAGCTGTACCTGCCGGCCAACAACTGCAAGAGCTGGGAATGCGATTGCGCTGTGATGATATGGGATCCGAAAATGTAAGTACCCCGAACAGTGCATTTCGCAAAGGAACGCATAATCAAGACCCTTGATTGACTTGTTTAGGACGACATGTCGGAGGAGGACCGGCTCATGCTGGATCGATCTCCAGACGAACTGCTCTCCAATGACAATGACGACGATCTCGGGGACTCAGACAGCGACGACGATCTGATGGCGGAGACGACCGATGGCGAGCGGATCATCTACCCCTGGATGAAGAAGATCCATGTGGCGGGAGTGGGTAAGTTGAAAGTTTCTCCATATCCCTCCTTCCCCTCCGCCTCAAGAGCCCCCATGTTGTGGCCCATTTTCGGGGTATGCTAATTAAATTACTTAGCTGCCAACACCCACTTGATCCACTGACAGGCCCCTGTAATGTTCGTTCTTTGGCGAAAACGAAAATGAAAATAAACAAAGTAAGAGCCAAAGACACCAGCCAACCGAGTAACTGAAAAAAGAAAACTGCGACTCCAAGCTCATTAATCAAAATCAAGAGTGCCACGCCTTGTGTCGAGGGGGGCGAGCCGTGCTCACCAAATGACAAGTTCCTGTACATACTGCTCCTATATAATGTAATGCACACGTCGTTGTGTGTGTTCCGTTCGCCTGCAATCAGCACTCGAATCGGCTCCTGGTAATAAGGCCTCTTCAGCTCTTTCAGCACTCCAGTCGACTTAAAGTCAACTTGGGTTGTTGAATGGCTCGGTGCCAATTGATGTGTCACATAGAGTAAGCAATATTGCTCTGCATAAGCTTTTATTTGCTTTTGTGGCACAGAATGGGAATTAGTATTATGTAGAATTCTGCATATTTTAAAAAAACATCAAGAATCGCACAATGTCTTATTTACACATATATTCTTATCAAAAAAACAACTGCAGTATTGGTATTAACTTCACTTGAATTGTTACACAAATTTGTATTATTTATCAAGGCAAGTCAGATTCTGACTCTGCAAACCCAACAATGAAAGCTTTTATGAGTATGAAGCACCACTATTCTTAGTAAAAACTGAATGCAACATCCAGTTAACTCGGACATGGAGAACAGGTTTCTACTCAATTCCATTCACCAGATCCAGACCTGTGAATGGGCTCCGTAAAGTTGAGTTGACAGTGTTGGCCCGGCAAAGATAATTACCCTTAATTGTCGCGCCCAAAACGGGAATTCATTCAGCCATGTGTCGAATGTGTTACCAACAATATCCACCGGCCAACTGGCGATTGTCGCCACTTATTGTTTTAATATTGCTGAATGGGGATGCCTTTGGGCGGCCAGTAGGTGACGAATGCATTTGCTGGAGGATCGGGAGAAGGTAGAAAAAACTGATAGATTGCTTTTTAATTAGCACAGCGTCAAAGTACTCCAGTTCGACCATAACCTTGACCCAAATGGGTAATTATAACGTTTCGCTTAACGCCACTCCGACTCGCTCATTGTCAAATGCCTCATCGGTTCATCGATTTCCCAGTACCCACTCCAGATATTAGTCTCACTGGGGATTTTACAATGCACTGTAAAAAACCATGCATTAAAATTGTCGCTACATCTCGAATAGATCGCAAATCAAAATTTTATTTATTAATAAATATACCAAACAAAAACAAATTTTAAACTTTAGGAGTTCTAACAACATTTTGAAAAAAGTTCCAATTGCCTCAAAGTTTTTTGTATTCATTTTTTTAAGGATAAGACTAGTTCTTTTATACATTTTTTTTAACATTTGCATTCGAAAATACATAAAGTATAGTTTACTTAGTAGAGGGATCAAAATTTCTTCGAGTGTCTCCATCAAAAATCAAACATCAAAACAAAATATCGGAGTAGTCCGACGAACTGTGGGACAGACAGACAAACGATCGCTCAGGGGCATTTTTGACACAGTCGCAAGGTATACGACTCCGATTCCGACTTCGACTCCGCTTCAGATTCCGATGCCGAACCCCCTCCACCTCCACCGTCGAGCCGAAACTCCGACTGAGTGACGGATGGTCCGTGTCATTTGATGTTAATGTTGTGACATTTATCATGAGCGCACGACCACGAGAACAAGACGAAACTTGATTATCGCCAGTGCATCATCTCGGCCAGCGTCTTGGCATCCGTCTCGTTATGCCCCAAAACCCGTAACCCCGAGTCCCCTCCGGTGTCGTGTTGGTCCCTTTACAAATGACTTACACTCGCTTAGCACTTGCCCGAAACTAAGGCCCCAAACTATGCCTCCGATGTGGCGTGTGGTCCCTTGCCCAATTTATTGTGTTTGTGCCCTACGGCGAGCCCAAAACTTGTTCGAAACTTGTGCCTCCGTCGGATGAAAGAGCGAGGCTAGGTGTGAAACGAATTTGGAGAGCAATTTCGTGAATTATTTAATAGTTGGCATTAAAAGTGTTGAAAGGTAGGGAAAAGTTAACTAATCTGGGCTTATTTTATGTTGGCGTTAATAAGTTTAATGGGAGAAAAAAATCTTAATATGCTGAGATTCATAAATAAAATAATTCAATAAAGAGTTTGGGCTCGGAATTTAATTTCTTTATTTTATACAAGTTTACCAAGAATTTCGACATATTTAAAGAATATAATATTAAAATTAAAAGGTTTTCGTTCTAAAGAATCTTAAGAATTTTTGAACAGAGAAACACAAATAAATAATGATATTTGGAATGACAAAACAAAGCATTTGAAAAGTAATTCTTTATGATTTCATAATTTAATGTAGCAACCTATTTTAATTGAGATACATTTGAGAAATGGAAAATTAATAAGAAATAATTTATTGGTTTTGGTAATCTCCTGCATATAGGTACATATGTATGTGGATTTACTTATAACATGTATTATGTGTAACCTTTTCTAACTTCTACCTTAAAAAAATTTCGTTAACGTATATTTTAAAATTGTTTCCAACCAATAATAATTTACATTAAACAGGTTTTGTGGAAGCCTGCAAAAATGTTATTGTATTAATAATTTATCAGTTATGGATTAGTTGGCAATGGATCTTTAACTGTTTTAAGAGATACAGTTCTCGCAATTCTTTAATATAATAACTAAACCTATTGAAACACATTTAGGCCCATGCAAATGCAAAATCTGAACGAAATGAATTCTGTGAAGAGCATTGACTGAATAATATTGATTTTATGCACGACGTCGGCTCAAGATGAGGCGGCTAAAAACGCGTACAAGTTTCGTGTTTGTACAGGGAGATACACACAGCCGTAGATACAGTATAGCTGCTTTCAATGAACGGCGGAACGTGAACAGCCTTGTAACTGAATTTCAATGGCAAGTCCACGATTAAGTTTCCACCATGAGGCTGAGTTCGGCCCGAGAGTCACAGTTACTCGATGACTTGCGGAAAAGCCTCAGAGGCGGGCAAAAAAAAGTGCAAGCCGCAGATACAGATACAGATACAGATTCAGAGTCAGACTTGGATTCAGATACATGAGGCTCAGACGCAGATGCTGTAAAAACTCAGCTGGAATTGCGCCTTTTGCAAAAGTGCAAACCGCTGGTAAGGGGGTGGTAAGGGGTGGGGAATCAGGGGAGTAATCACCGGCGGCCCAGGGCATGACAATGATGAAAATGACGCAGTAAAAATTAAGAAGTTCGCCTTTATGACAGATGGGGCACGAACAGCTGAGACTCAGCTGGGTTCTTCACAAAGCATAATTAGCGATCCCTGTCCGCTCACTCTCTCTCTCTCTCTCTCTCTCTCTCCCCTCTTTCTCTCCCTTTCACTCGCTTTACTGCCGTCTCTGTTTTGGTTCGGCAATTTACGCCAATAAAGTTCTCCGGACTCCGGAGCTGTGCAAATTATTGAAATTGGCTTTAATTAGCGGAGCTTTTATTGCTGCTGCCACACTCTGCCCATTGTCCATCGGGGAACACAAATATATACGAAATATATATGTACAACTTAGTGGGGTTTTGTGGGTTCTTGTCTCGAAAGCAACGAATCTCCAAGGTCGCCTCTCCATTGTTCACCGGTCTTTGAGTCGTGAGCTTCTTAGCTTGAGTTGTCTTGTCTTTCTTCTGGTACTCTGCACTTTGCTGTCGGTTTCGGTTTCGGTTTCGCTTGATTTTACGGATCCATTCTATTTCCATTTCGTTAGCACAACAAAACGATTCCGTCTTGGGACAAGTGCCGCATTTTCGGCTTAGTTGAATAACATTGTTGATGGTCATTCGATTGGGGGCTTTTGTTGTTAAGTGCCAGAATCGAAAGTGAAGCTAGACATTTTTAGAAACAAATGCCAAAGCTATTTTTGAGCATGAAATGTAAATGAAAAGAGCGCATCATTTAAATTATAACTTTATTATTTTACGTGGGTTGTTAAGCTCAAATATTCAAAAACTTTAGAGCTAGCAATAAAAAGTTGTATCCTTAAGTATAAGTTTAAGTTTTTAATTTATTGCATTTGTTCTTAATGGCCTAGGGCTTTTAAATTAACAGTTAAGTCTAGTTAAAATACTGAAAAGCTTTTAAAGGAATATATAAATGCAAATGTTTTAAGATAGTCGTCACTGTACAATTTAAATAACCTCTGTGGTTCTGGTGTTCGCATAAGAGTTTGTTTTTCACATAATGGTAAACAAGAACCAGGGAAAATTCGGCATCCATTCTCTAATTAGTTTTGGCTCCAACAAACATAGCATCTTTTCCCCCGACTCTTTCAGCTATACTTAAATTAACATATTTTTCCATTTAGTTTTGCACTTGGCTTTAAGTCAGTCAAAAGCGCTTAAAGTATGTATTTGCGTTTAAATTAACAAAATTCGAGTTGGAGAACAATTCTCCCACAGCGCGGCAACCAGTTCAAGTGCTGCGGGTACTTTACGTTGGAAACACATATGTAAACATATACATATATAGAATATAGAATACATATATACGAGGGTTTGGGTGTTCTGCCCGTACATGTGTAAGTAGCATGAGCTCATGTTTATTTTTATTATTTGCCTGCCACAAATTGCAAGTCACTTGACAAGCTGCTGATGCAGCTCCCGCTGTTGTTGAAATGTTGACTTGCCTTTTTTCTCCACTCGCGGTTGTTGTTTTTGTTGTTGTTGCCATGAGCTCACACACTTTAATGTATAAAATTAAAAAAAAGAACACCGAGCGCCTCAGTAAAGTTTCAAACTTAGAACCCAGCTGGATAACACGGCGTATGCGCAATCTCCGTTTGGGCATTCATTAGTGCAGACCGAAAATTAATTTCTAGCCATTTGTTCGCTGCATTCGAATTGCGATTTCCTCTAATAGGCGAACAGGTTTTTCGTTTTTTCCACGCTTGCTATTAATGCCTTTGATGAATGTTTGTATAAATGAATTATGACAGCCGTTAAATATTTTCGACTGATTTCTTTCTTTTATTTTTCACTACGATTTTGTGGCTTTTTCGGGTTGGCACGAGTCAAATTTCTTTCTCCGATTTACCTCCGATACTTACACACTCTCTGTTTACCGGGTTGTCAATTAATCATTTGTATTCAGGCATCTTCTTAAATCGAATGCAAAATGAATGGATTTAAAGAATCGAAGCCCGGAAGTTGTCTGGTGGCCACCGCACCTCAAAATCGGGTTGGCTTAAGCCCTCAAATGAGGCCGCCAGACAACAGCGGATTATGAAATAATGCCTGACATAGTTTTTATTCCCCATCCCCGCTTTTGCAGCATGAAAATGTAGAGTCACAAACGCATGATAAATCATATGAAATTTCGGATGGGACAAACATGCCGACAGCCTGAGTCAGGCCCCAGAAAGGGAAGGAAAGTGTGGGAGGGAAAGGGACAGCTGCTGCCTACACACTAAGTCCGCCCGCGGGCGCCAATTTTATGCAGCATGCCCGTCTCCCTTTTTCACAGCTCTTTAGCACTTTTCCACCTAACGTTCCCCTCGGAGAAACGTATCCCCGATGGCTTGTGCAATCTTGATTTCCTTGGCCTTGTATGATGCGGCATTTTCATAAATTGGCTGCCATTCTTGCCAGTGTTAAATGCAATTGGCACTCTTTTCCTTTTCGTTTTCGTTTTTCGTCTTAAGCCATGACGCTGCGGTTTCCTTTGGAAGCCTGGACCGAACACTGAAGTTCTTCCGCTTCGCGGGCCCTGGCAGTTTCGTTGAAACGTTGAAATGAAATGATACGCACTTATTAAAAACGAATTAACGCAGCATGCCGCCAACGCCAGCGCCGACTTCTCCGCTGACGCAGCAGCTGACATTGGGATCGGTGTTGTTTCGTTATCTGTTGTATTTCCCTGCTCCTTTGGGGTTTTGTAATTGATATTGCAGTTGGCTCGGTTCGGTTTCCACCGCCGTCCCTTTCGGTTCTCTTTAATTTTTCGACTCATGTTTTGTTTCGAGATTTTGCTTGCAACCCGAATCAATAATTGATGGATTAGCGTTGCATGTTAGTACTTAAGCTAATTTTTGTGTGAGGAACTAAAAGCTCAATGGGGTGTGTTATAGAAAGATTGACTTTACAAATTAACAAGGTATAATCCCTTAGAAGCGATTTAAAAATATAAAAGGGTAAATGGAAAATGATGATATTGTAATCTTATTTCATGATATACGAAGCTGTAAAACAAAAATATAGCAATAAGTTAGGTTTGCTTCAAACAATTTAATATCCTTGTTTGTTACCAAAATCAGTTGTTTTCAAATAGCAGGAAACCAGATAAACTTTTAAATGTTATCATACACTTCTTCTTCCCGAAAACAAACTTTTAACTTTATTCGACCTGCCACCCCGCTCAAGAAAATAAAAATAAAAACTGTCAGCAGCTCTTAGCGCATCTGTTCCGTTCCCTCCTGAACTGCTACAATGACCTGACCCATGTTAGTCCATTTTTTCTGATGGACCACCCGGCCAATGTGCTCCCCCTCTCCCTGGTTTGGGGGCCTGTCAACGGTTGGCTGGACATATATCATTAATCTAAGTTTCGGGCCGCCGAGCTGGGATTGAAATATTTCTATCAAATCGAAAGCTGTCTGTCACAGAGCAATGAAATTTTTATAAATGCACAACTTCGGACGGAAAGTGCGAGGGACTGTAAGTCTGATAGAAACATCAGCGGAGATGGCAGCAAATTGAAATTGATGGAGCGTGTATATATTTTGAATGTCCATCTCCGACGGGCGGCAGGTGCGAGGCATTTATCTGTCTCGGCGATAAAAATAAAGAACACGGAGTAAGAAAGTTGAAAGGGGAATGGGAGAGCGGAAGGATGCAACCCTCAGATGTGTTTAATTTCCCAGCCGGAAAAACTAACTGCGGCCGCGTAATTTTTCGGGAGGCCCAAGGACAAGTCCTGACATCCTGGCAGTTGCGCGCCATTTGATTTTGATTAATTATCCCCGGCCCAACTGACACGGCTCTTTCATGTGCCCGCGGGCTAACCCTCTGAGCCGCCCCCACCCCCTCCCCCCTCTGTGGCACCAGCAACTCCCCTCGACCTGTCCAGTTTCAAGGTGAATGCGAGAAAAACTTTGGCGCGGGCTTATTAAGGGTTGTCAACTTATCTGGGAGATTTATTGAGAACTGTTATGAAACGCAATTTGAAGTGTATTAATTGTGGTGCCCCACCCCCATCCCTCCATATTGTTTATACTCCTCGATCATTAATTACGAAAATCCTGCGTTCTCGATTCGAGTTTCACACGGAGAGAACACGGAACTACTGTGGAAATGTATAATCTTAAAATGAGTTGCTCTCAAAGTCTTTTTAATTTGTGTTTACAATAATTTAATAAAACAAAAGTATACATTTTTGCAAACATTTGTACATCATTATTCATTTAAACATTGTTTTATATTTGAAATCGATTTCAAGGAAACTCTAACTCCATGAATACTTATAATAAGTTAAACAATGATATATAATAAAAGATATTCAAATCTAATTTTTAAAAAACTAGTGTTAAAAGACCTAACCTTTATCTTTATGTATAATATATGTACATTTTTTAAGATAAGAATTAATATATCTCATTTTTAGAAAGCTTTTTCTTTATTTTTATTTTTTTATTTTATTAACTACATATTTATTTTTTTATATTGTCTAACTCCTCCGATCTTTCTCCTTTTTTCGTGCAGCGAACGGGTCGTACCAGCCGGGAATGGAGCCAAAACGCCAACGCACCGCCTACACGCGCCACCAGATCCTGGAGCTGGAGAAGGAGTTCCACTACAACCGCTACCTGACGCGTCGGCGGCGCATCGAGATCGCCCATACGCTGGTCCTGTCGGAGCGGCAGATCAAGATCTGGTTCCAGAACAGGCGCATGAAGTGGAAGAAGGACAACAAGCTGCCCAACACCAAGAACGTGCGCAAGAAGACGGTGGACGCCAACGGCAACCCAACACCGGTAGCCAAGAAGCCCACCAAGCGGGCCGCCTCCAAGAAGCAGCAGTCGCAGCAGCAGCAGCAGCAACAGCAGCAGTCGCAACAGCAGCAGTCGCAACAGCAGCAGACGCAACAGCAGCAGACCCCGGTGATGAATGAGGTGAGTGGAGCGTGTTGAAAGTTAACAGGAGCAGGCACTTAAGAACCATCCACTCCTCTGAATGGCAGTTCTTGCGTGTACTCTACAATTTTAAATTTAATTCATAACACCCAATTTACTATAATGATTACTAATTGAAAGAGGAGTGGTTACGGTTTATAAATTTAACGTACTTAATGATCTGACTTACAAATCTGAAATTTTAAAATATATGTATATATATATATATAAATATGGTTCAAAAGAGTAGTTGCTTCAAAAGACATGATTGCTGAAGAGAGGTCGTTGCAAAACGAACTTAAAACATATTTGGAATTTACTTTAAGTAACCTTATTAACTCTTCAAACGATTTATTATTAAACGATTTTTAATCAAGTCAGCAACTTCAATAGGTCTAGTATTTAAGGAAGTAAAATGCCGAACCTAAACACATCCTTCTTAAAATTTCCATAATGTTCTTCAACTTATTAATACAAAAACCACCAATTTTACTATATATGGGACATTCTTTTACAAACAGTACGGATTCGAGAAAAAATTTTTTTCATATCTCAGAATTGAATGAAATTTTTTTTATAGCTTCTATGGAAGATTTTATTCGACACGTGTAAAAGGATTTTACTCAAAAAAAAATAGTTTTTTATTTATTTTTTCTATATATTAAATATATTATCTCCGCTTCCAGTAGTCACATAATAAAAAATTTTTTTTTATTCAATAGGTATTAATGTTGCCTTTCAAGTTTTTTACTTGCAATTTTTTTATTTGTTCAGAAAAAAAATTATAAACAATTTAATGGTTTCAAAGCTGATCCCCACAACATATGTATATAATTGGAAAAATTACAATTTAATTCTATACGTCATTCCTAAGAAAAAACACTTGGATTTAATAAGATATAAAATAACATTGATCGCGCTGCGGCAGCATGTGGAGCGCGCGCTGCGAAAATTATTTAATTTCTCTTGATCTGATGAAGACCCCACTCTAATTCCTTTTACTGGTTATTAAGCGAAACATAGGGATAATAAATTGATTTTTTTCAATTAAATAAGTTGTGGGGATCGGCATTGAAATGTCGATATAATGATTAATTTGTAACTAATAAATAAATAAAAAATTAAATTAAAAAATAAAATTACTTTTTGAAAGCTGAATTCTTGAACTAAATAATAAAAAAAAATTGTAACGATACGATTAATAGAACAAGAGATAATAATTGATTTAACGTGTTCAAGGATAGAGAAAACCATTGATATTGTCAAAAATCATAACTTTGTAAAAAAAAATTTTTAAGCAAAATACCGATACACGTGTCTTTTTATTTTGCTTCCTACACCTAGAAAAAAATTTTGACAAAAATCGGAATTGTGACGCAAAAAAAGGTGTACCTACGATTTGTAAAAGAATGTCCCATATATGTATGCAAAAAAGTAGAAATTTTTTTATTTGGTATTCCGAAGCGAATTGACATTAATATTTTATCTTATCTAAGCCAACTATTAACTCAGTTTAAAAGTTGTCTTCAGGGGTAAAACTATTGTTTGGTTTTTAAAATGAAGATACTTAAGCCAGGATATGTCTTGCAAACTAGATTCATACTGATCTTCTGACCACCATTTTTAACCACTTTCCTTTCCCTTTCCTTTCCTTTCAGTGCATTCGTTCGGATAGTTTGGAGAGCATAGGCGATGTGAGCTCCTCGCTGGGCAACCCGCCCTACATACCTGCGGCACCTGAGACGGCCGGTTCCTACGGAGGACCTCAGCAGCACCTCGGCAACAGCGGCAACAATGGCAGCGGCAATAACAACAATAACAACAACAACAACAACAGCAACCTCAACAATAACAACAATCAGATGGGTCACACGAACCTGCACGGGCACCACCAACAGCAGCAATCCGATCTCATGACCAATCTTCAGCTCCACATCAAGCAGGATTACGATCTGACGGCCCTGTAGAACGACGACTTCGGCATTGTAAATTAGCTATCCCTACCATTCTTTGTAGAATTCTTTTTCATTTCGAATCAATAGCCTTGTACTTGGGACAAGGCTAAAGACAAATCGGAGCATACAGTGAACGTAGTTAGTAAAGGACCGAGCATTAGGTAGACGCGCTCATTATATAAAGTTGTAATCACGATTCCCCACAAGCGTTGTATATGAGTTTTACTTAAGCACCCTAGGATTCAGGTTTAAGAGATTGTATAAAGCCTAGAACGATTCGTCATAGCTGTTAAGTGGCAAACCCTAGCTCTAGAATTACTTACTTGTGTAATTACGGTAACTATAAATATTATTAACGAAACTAGTTGGCATCTGTTGTGCGTCTCTAGATGTGTGTAAGTTCGTACTTATATTTTATGGATATAGATAAAACTGAAAAGTGGAAAGTACATGTATCGAAATAAAGAGAATATATTGTATACGGAAATGAAAATAATACCAAGCTAATATTTGTTCATGGCAAAGGGTGAAACTTGTAGAGAAAACATATCGTACTTAAATAAGAATTAATATTTAAAGTGGTAAGTAATCTTCCTGGGTGACATTTTCAAAGAAGCTTCGCAAACACGAGATTATTGAACAAGTTAAACAATCTCCTTTGATTGATAGCCCCGATGAAGTTTCTTAACCCGCCTACACAAATCCCCGCCGAAGACATGCACACTTGTGTGCTCGACTATAATCCGCTGATTCATCATCGCTCATTGTCAACTAATTAGGACAAATTTAAACATCATGGCCCAAACGCTGCTGGGTAGCCGAATTCAGAGCCGAGTGTCTCCCCTTCAACTCCTTTTGTTGGGGGGCTTTCGCGCTAAAGAATTCAGCAGGCCTTTGTTGGCAATCAGCTCCGCTGAAGGAGAGGAGCCGAGTGAAGTTGCCAAATGCTAACAAGAGTTCTTAATTAAAAATCGATTCGCCAATGATTGATCACAGCCCATTGGCACCTGTTGGCTTCTGGAAATGTGTTCAACAAGAAATCGTCTCCGAGCGTGGGGATCCTCCGCCGATGGAGTGTGTGCGATAAACTGGTCTTAGCTCACTTCAGAGGTCCTATTGCGGATTGCGGATTGCGGATTGTGGCCGGTTGGTCGGTTGGTCGGGCGCGGCCTCCGTTGACAATGACCCGAGTCACCAGGAGAGTGTCCACCGAGATGGGCACACAATCAATCTACCCCCGATCCCTGACAGTGGATTGTCGGCCGGGTACATGGAAACACTCTTAGCGCTTAATTTATCATTGCGAAATGATCAGCACTGCTCCTCGGCCTCGGGACCCGCGATCCCAAACTGGAAATTGCGCACACTCGTCCCCAGCGATAAAAGGATTAAGACCCACTTATAGACCGGAACGACCGAGAACTCGCCCGAGGAGCCTGCTTAAAAACTGGGGGACGGCATCGAAGACGGGCACGCAGTTGAAATTAGCAGCTCAAAGTGATTACGAGAGCATGAGCACGTGTTAGGGGAATAATTTAACACTCTGACAGGGACCTCGGGGTCCTTCAGAAAGGGATCGAGCCCTGAAAAGGGAAATCGTAATTATGACCAACGGTAGCTTCACTTGTCACTTGCCCTTGGAGAAGGACCCACCGCAGGCAACTCTTCTAAAAGCCGGGCTTAAAAAACAGGTTTTATTGCAAGAATTTCTTTAGGATGACTATCTTTAAAAGTAAACAAAAGGTAAATATTGTAGGATAGTGGGTTAGTAATAGTCAGGAAAGATGAGACTTGTTTGAAATAGCATTTCTCCATTCTTTTAATTTGGTCAAACCCAAAATATAAATATTGTGAAGTATATATAACGTTTATTGCAGATGGGATGCATTACCTAAGAAGTGCATGATTACTAAAATATATAATACATCTATTTTAGTAAAAAAGAAGATTTATAAATATTCAAGTTTATCTCAAGATAGCGTTTGTTTAAGAAGCAATAATTGTTGGGTCGATGCAGTTTCCAAGTATTACTAATTCCCGTCATGTGCATGTACAATCTTAGGTTCATTTAATTCCAGAAAATTTCGTTAATCCATTAACCCCCACAAAACGACCTCACACCTCCTGGTAACAACTGGAGAAGACCACAAATCCAGCAACCATTAGTTCTAAATGATTTTTAATAGACAAAACTCAGCGCAGCCATTCATCTGGCCATTTATATCCCAGTCCGGCCTCAAAGAGCCAATCCATCGTTTGGCCACTCGCATGCCCAACATAATACATGGGTTAATGGTTACAAATTAGGCTGGATCGGTTGCAGGCGACCAACACGCAAGTAGAGGGGAGTGGCAAGGTGGACCAACCGCAGGCTTCCTTGGAGGAGGAGTGGATCCACAGCAGAGGTTGATAAAGTAGCACTTCATCTGGAAAGTGTTGGATTGTTAAAACAAATAGTTGGATTCAAAGAAATAAGTACTTGCAATTTAATACACTTTGAAGTAGGATATGATCTTTATTTTAGTATTACTGTTTAAGTGATACCTATTTGTTTCAATGTTTTTTAAATCAAATACACATATAAATAAATATATATATTTTAATTTAAAGTCAAAAAAAATATATTTATATTTATATTTATATATGATTTTAACTTAACATATAAAAGATTAAGCTATTTCTTTAATATATTCTTATTTTAGAAGCTACACTTATTGCTATTTTATTGACCTCAGCTGTGTATACATAGAAGGAGGCTAAGCTGCCAATTTAATAAATGGCCAGGCATTAATTAAATCGAAAAGGAGAGGGAACACACACAAGAGAGAGCAGGGAGGACTGGAGCTGCGACTTGAGTGATGAGACTTGATTGATTCCTGCCGAGGGCCACACTTGAGGTGCATTGTTGCACATAATTGTGGCTCCGGCCTTGGCTTGGCTGCACATTGATTTATTTATGCGGCCCGCTCTCCTTTGTCCCCTGGAATTTGTTTCCAATTCAAACTTAATGAGAATTGATGCCTCTTCAGCTTTTTGATTCCGACTTGTTTGTTTTGGCTTCGGGTTGTTTTGGCATTAAATGGCCTACTAATTGGCGAGGTGAAAACAATTAGCTGACATTTCTTGGAATGGCATACAAACCTCATAGCCAAAACGGTAGCCAGCTAGAGCCAAAAATGTCCTGCGGCATTCATCAAAAGGCGTACGGGGAGAAGTCAAACTGGAACCTCTGATTCCTATATCCCAGCGAGAGGGCTGCGAATCCTTTACCGTTCTAATCCCTTCACTAGTGCCGCCCGACGGCGCGTGGGCGTTTTAAGTGGGCGTGTCGCTGTGTCCGTATGCAAAAAAGGTTTGTCCATCCAACGAAATTAGCAACAGTAGACGCAGTTAATTGTTCCTCATTGTTTCGTCCCTTTCTGCCTGTCAGGATCTCACGAAAAATGTGGCTATAATCAAAGGGTTGAGACTGTGGGCCGAGCCGTGTCCCTTGACTTCTGTTGGGATAATCCGGGATGAAAGAGGATGAGACAGGATTAACATGGCGAAAGAGTCGCTTTGACCACCGCTGAGAAAAGTCAAAAGTTAGGAAGCCTGAGCGGCTCGAAAATAAATTCAAAATATTGGAAAAACAAACTCTGGTAATGCGAAATTGCATGGATGTTCATTGATATGCAGACACTATTTGTTTTCTATTTTTTTTTCCAAAAAAAAGGTTCATTAAATGCCAAAAAAAAAAATAACGAAACAAAAATAAAGATATTAATTAATAATTTTATGCGGTTTTTTTTTGCTGCTAAGTAGTTTGTAAATCGGTACTGCTGAATTGCATAAACCTCATTGATCATCTGCGGACATTATATTTATATTTTCTATCGTTTTCGAAAATAAAATGATTAACTAAATCAAAACTAAAAAAAAATATTAAAATCCGAACCCAGATATTAAATGAATTAAAGCTAATTAATAACTAGTTCCATATTTTATCTTTTGGTAAGACAATGATGATAATGATATATGATAATTCAACGATGATATGCAGAAATTTTATATGTTTTAAAGTTTTCGGAATTAAAAATGGTTTACTTTAACTTAGTTAATCTAAATAGAGCTATTATATGTTCCATGAAAAAATAATAATATGTTCAATTTTTGTTTTTCGCTGGGTTATTAGGGAATTGGACGACCAAATATAAAATGCTTTAATACCAATGTTCATTCGATTTGTTTTTGCGACTTCTTTTAAGATGTCAGGCAAAAGTATCTGCGGTAATTGACACACGATCATTAATCAAACTGCACAATACTGCATGCTTTTCTTTTCGTTCATTTCATTTTAGTCTTGCTTTTCGCTCGGTCTAAGAATTTTATTTACGTGAAAGGGAATACACTCGGTGGTCAACATTTTAAATGATTTTCCTTACAATGTATAATTTTTTAACAGGCGAAACAGACGTCAACACTTTTTAAGGCATAAGCTTGGAAAACCAAACCATCTCATTGTAAATTTTATATCCTCACCTTGCACTGGGAACAATTTAACTATAAATCAACAAAAACTTTAAAAAAATATATCTTTAAGTTTTATTTTGTTTTTTTTTTTTATGAAAAACTGTTATAAAAATGCGCTAGATTTATTTACTTTCGTTAACAAATTGAGCAGTATAAATATACTATAATTATTGTAAACATATTAAATATAAATCTTGTTTTTTTGTATAAATATAACTGTACAATAATTGCTATATTTCATCTGAAATTAATATTATTAAAAGAATCATTAATTCATAAGAATAAATTAACAAAGTTTGTACCGTTTCTGATTCTAAATATGTATCTTTTTGATTGTGGCCCTTTTTCGCTGTGTGTTTATCATGGCTGCCATCTGAAGGCTTTGTTTTTGCTACTGACAGCCCCTTGACAAGGCAATGGCAGCTGGAGAAGGCCTGAAGGGTCCGAAAATCCCCATATATGATGTGTACTCTTATTCCCATCCCTCACGTCCTCACTCACGGGCTCGTCAGCCACCCTCTCCACTTTCCCCTGGTTTCCCTTACCACTTCGCCACAGAGTGAAAGTTCCCCTTGAACGGAGTCCAAAAAGGACCCAGATGAAAGCAATTCCAACCATTTGCAATTCTTACCCTCGCGACGGAGTGTGTCTGTGACAGTGGCATTTTTGATAAAATTTTATTCCGTTCACATAGCCGTCAATGTCATTTCTGCCGCTCGCTTAGTCCCTTGCCTTTTTTTTTGTTTTTTGTTGATTATTTCGTTGACGTGCTTCTGTCTCAGACTCCGGGAAAAAATGGATACTCCCACACACTTGAAACTTTGGTTCTTTGCCGAATGTTAAGTGGTGGTTAGGTTTTCGATTTCCGGTCGAGTTTTGCGGGCAAGCGTGGAAAGTTTCAAAATGGTCAATGTATAAGATAGTTGATTATAGGGATTAAAATAAAATGCTTTTAACTAACTGTGCCAAATTACTTAACTCAATTCCTAAATCTTTCGATTAGCCGACGGACAGACAAAAAATATTCACTTTAAAAATTTGTGTAAAACACGGGCAACACCAAATACAAATTTCCTAAGAGGGAATCAAACAAACGGTTTCGGACTAACGATATTCAGAAACAAGCCGTAGATTTCAGATAGCCAATATACAAACCATGTAAGTGTAGAATGTATGATGAATATGTAGAATGGGTGTATATGTAAACTTAGTGCTTATTCGCACTGCTTGCTATTAAGCAGTGCACGTCGTATTCGAATAAAACAAATGCGGCGATATTAAACATTTCTTCATTTTATTATGTTCGAACATGCTGAACATAAACATTCAAGGTCCGTTTTTAAGGGCATGCTTGTTATAGTAAAGCGTTTCAGCTCTCGGTTTAATTTATAGGGTAAGAGTAGTCTACATAAATAAGAAAATATCATAAGGTTTCACAAAGCGAAAAGTTTATTGCACTGTTCCTCATCTTGCGGACGCCAATTATATAATATCAATAGAACCTCAGTAACATTGGGGTCATCGAATTACTTTGGCGATTGTTAAATAATTCCAACACACTCATTTAGTTATTAACCATGCTTAAGTTTTGATGGCAGGACAAGTCCTTATATAATTTTTAACATCACTTTTAGCATCTGCGTACATAAATTGACGATAATGTGCAATTAGCAGGAATTAGGAAGATGGAACCACAGTAACTTCCTTTAAAGGCAAGAAAAAGAAAAAAATACAAAAATATTCATTTCGGACAGTATTTTTATTTATATAATTTCGTTCAAACATATTTAGTTATTTTTCCATTACCGTGTATTTTCTAAAGTTTTTACAGATTATTATTAAAATACCATATTTTAATGCACCGTTGATTTAAAGAAATAAATTAAAACTATTTCATAATAGTAAAATTAAATGTATATAATTTTATAATAATTCATTCATATAATAATCACACAAATTTCACCATTTTAGACGAATTTAACCGCTTTGACCAATTAGAGTATCAGCAATATTTATTATCTACCAATGTTAAAACAATTTTGAATTTAGAAAAAAATGAATTAAAGAAATTCAATTTTAGTTAATTTAATATATATTAACAGACTTAAAACAAAAATTGTGATCGATCCATATCTTTCGATCCATATCTTCGCAACAATTGGTGCCAAGGTTTGCGAGAAACTTTGCTCATTTCAAAAGTGTCCCTTAGACGACGAGTCTATTAAAGCCAATAGACGGATAGATTGGGTCCCCTTTAAACTGTAGTTTTCTCCCTTTGTCTCCTACGAGGACTTTGCCGTCCAGCGTAAATTTATGGAAGATTATTTCTGGAATTATTATTATTAATTCATATTATATATATTTTTTTAATGGTTATGACATATTCTTCCTATTTAGACATTTTTAAAAAGTTGCACGTAGTGTCAAATTATAGGTCATTAAAAATTACACAGTCCATTCAAATCAAATCAGTGCTTATCAAAATTGAGGATGAATATTTTTTATAGAACCATATCGGAATGTTTGATATACCTGTACATGATTAATGACAACGGTGATATCTAAATTAGTTTCACAAAAGCCCTACAACAGATAACATTTCAGGTGGTTAGGGAAAATTTTGGGAGATTTTCTGGTGAGGGGCGTTGCCTTGCTCACCCTCTCGGAATTTTGGCAAGAAACAAAAAGGTGGACGGAAATAAGCGCCGACGGATGTGATTCAAGTGGCGTCCTATGCAAATTGGGCAAAGTGCATGGCCATTTGCGCAAAACTGCAAACTTCGCCAATCCTCCTCATACGAACACCACCAGAAATCGACTTGACCCAAATGCCTTGCTGAGGCGAACACCAGATACTCCACACATCCACTGCCGAGGAACCCCAACGCCCCCACACCCTTGGCGAAATTGTAATGGCAATTTGTATGCAAAATTGAGGGAATGTAAATTTCGAGCAACACATCGAATAAATTGAAGTCGGCAGGAATATAAATGGAGCCCAAAGAACTGAGCAATAAGAAAACAGTGTCCCATGTCCGGTAGCGAAAAATTTGAAATGTGGTACTTAATTCAATTGAACGATGCTATAACTTTGCAGACAAGCGTCTGCTGGAAGGCTGTTGATAAGAACATTTTTTCTGCCAGAACATAATGACCTTCTTAGAAATCTACTTAAAGGAGCATGACACAGCTGATAAGATACATTAACAAGTATTTAACTAGTATTAACAATTAAGTATACAAGCTAACTTAGGCAGAATGAAACTAAAAATAACGTTTGCTAAAATTCTTTTGTATTTGAGTCATTGGCATTGAAAAGTGAAAATACACTCTTATCTATAAATGTAAAGCCAAATAATTATGTCAAGACAGCAATTCATTATCATGGATTTTATGGTAAGCACTGGCAACACCTTACTTGGTAACAGTAATTAGTTTTTATTATCGTGACTCAACATGGAATAGGTAAAACTATATTATTATATTGATTTTACAGACATTAACTATGGATCTTATAGCGTTAATTTCATGGAATTTTCATTAGGAAGATCAAATATCAGCACTTGTTTTCACTTTGGTAAAGTTTAATATCAGCTGAGATCACTTTTTCGATGGACATTGAACCACACAAACCTCTCTAGAACCGAATTTGTCCTTAAAGCTAGTATAAAACAAATTCGGATCTACAGGGTAGACGTGGAGCAAACTGAAACTGGAGGGGAGCAGTCGCCGGGTTGAAATGACGCAGTGACTCAGGTGAGCAATCACGGCTGCAAAAAAAGTGAAAACGTTAATAAACATATACAATGTGAGTTTACGGGGCGGGGTAATTTGGGCAGCGCGGCAATTACATGCGCCTCGGGTAAATTATATTTATCGTGCCACACGTGATGCGGTGACGGCTGGCATAATACAACCGTTTCCTTTATTCCTTTCGAAGCCGTGGAGTGACCCATAAATGTGATTACAAGCCCGCGGTTGCCTGCCAATTAAACAGGGGTCTCCGTGTCCGTGTCCGTGCCCGTGCCCGTGTTTGTGTTCCTATCCTGAAAGTCACGGAAGTGCTCCGCCGGAGGAGCCCGCTCCGTGTTGTCTTCGCCCTCGCCTCTGGAAGCCGACTGAACTGGAAGGCAGGAAGGCAAGACCTCACCGAGTGCCTCGAGATTAGGCGCTAGTCCGAAAAACAGAGCGCGGAAGGTAATGCCGACGTTATCGGAAGAAGCGGCGATAAGATAAGATACGGCTGCGATGTCTTGGGAGTGCTTAGTGCGCTTGTATCTTATTGATTGCCCCCGGATTACGGCACTTTCTTCACGTCGATAAAAGGTGCGAGGCCTGGAAATTGGATAGACAAGGAGCCCATTAACCGAGTGATAGATCTGGGGGTGTTGCTTCTGAGGCTCTTCTGTTTGCACTCGAATCAATCAGCGAGCAGCTCCACTAAGCTCCCGACCTGGATCGCCGTCGCCGAGGGCGCCACCTTAAGCCTTCTCGTTCCTGCTCCAAATCGGTGAATCGGTGAATCGGTAACGACGCCGGCGATGATTCAGCACTAAGCCCCGCTAAGACTGCTGAGTAATTCCAAGGGAGGCGGAGGGGAAGGCGGTGCGGTGGCAGATGCTCCGATGAAGTCCGTGTGTCCTGTAATGAAATTTCAATTAATTAATGACTTTCTAGCAGGATTCATTAGCACTAAGCGGCGGGCCATAGACGCACTAAGCTGGCGAAGTCAAAAACCTTTTCGGGGCCGGCGGGTTACCCTGGAAATCCCCGGATTAGGTCCTTAATGGCAACAAATCTTGCGTAAACAAAGGAGGGAGGACGAGCCGTTTGACTTTGCACACCCTCTAACGCTCCCTCTTTCTCATTCACTCTTTCTCTCTTTCTGTCTGCCTGCGGTGCCTCTTTGTCTGCAGCCCCCGTTGTCCTTTTTGCAGCCTCAACATGGCCGCCTCAAAAGAGAGAGAGAGGGAGAGAGAGAGAGCGCGCTCTCCAAATGTGTACACACAATCCACAAGGGGTAGCAACGAGAGAGTGAGAGAGAATGAATACTGGGGTGAAGGACCACGCAGGCAAAAGGCAGCTGAAACTAAGTCGCGTTTCTTTCTGTGATCATCCAGTTGAAGCCAGAAGCAAAGTGCTCCATATTTCAACACCTTGTCCAAATTAACGCCGCCTTGCCAAATCGAGATTCGCAAAATAAGTTACATCACCCCGACCCAGCAGCACCCTCGAATCAGAACCGCTAATTGATTTCACGTGGTCAGAAGCTAATGGTTAACGCGAAATCGCCAGGAAATATTCATTCTGTACGGCCTCCAGAAGCCCGCTAATGCAGTGCAAATATTTGGCAACATTAAATATATTATGGAAATAATAGATCTGTCGTTAATTTGTGGCGACCAAGCGAGCGAAGGATTTCGCGGTTGGCAGCGTTTATTAGCCACCGAAACTTACAGTTCACGAGCATTGTGTACAGTCATGTCGAGATGCTAATGATAGAGTAGTTATAGTGGAGATTGTAAAACTGTATTTTTAGACTTGTGTGTCACTAGTTTTTGTTCTCAAAGTACTAAGTATAGTTAATGTGGTGAGGTTCGCCTCTCACAAAATTTCACCATTTGATTTTATACAATTAAAACCTGTTCCACGAATTTTATTGCTTGTATTATCTAATTCCTAATTTTTTTCTAAGGCGCCTAATTTCCATTTCCATTTTAAAAGTGAACTCTTTTGCTTTAATCTAAAATGTTATCACTCCAACATCTAATGATGTGCCATCACTGTTTAGTTGTGTTTTCATTGTTCCCCCAAAAACATTGATTAATTAATTTACAAAGTATTTTCTTGATATCGCTCTGTCTGCATTGATAAGTATGATGTACGAGCAAGTCAGATATAATTTCGGTAGCCTTTGGAAATTCGGTTGCTATTTTTGTTTGCTGATAGCCGACGAATCGATTTTCAATCGGGCCGCAAGCTTAGAAGACCATTAGTTGCTTTGGGCAAACCTAATAACTCAGACTTGTAAGCCAGATGAATAACTCAATCAATGTGTTCTTTTGTGAGGAGGTTTCTAAGACGTCAGGCGCCTAAATTCATTCTTCAGATGCAATAACAGTGAAAGATACAAAGAGAAACCCCTCCGGAAGTATAGCGAACGTATACAAAAGACGAGTAAGGAAAGCAATTCTTCTTTAGTCACCTGTGCACTAAAAAAAATTGTTTTGTATTATAAGAAAAACATATTACAGGCTATTTTAATTTTTGAAAAATTATAATTTTTGTATAAGGTTACTATCGCCCACGAAAAGCTAATAAAATTATAAAGCCTTCTCGTGTAAAAGAATAAAAAACAACAAACTACAATTGTTCAAAGAAAAGGTAAAATGGCACAAAGCCCAAAATGCTTTCCTCAGTGTATCCCCTTCCCCCCTGCGGTAACCTACTCCCTGACCAGACCCACAAACCTTCGGCGATCCAGCAACAGATACGCGCAACAAAGGGGCAATGACTGGCTAAATTTTGCAATGCTGCTTTTAGCACATGAAGACAACTTCGCACATAAATCAAAGTGCCAGCGAGAGAAGAAGAGGGGGGATGGAGGGGGATGGGAGGGGGCAGATCATTTACCTTGGTCAGTTCAGTGCCAAGTGTCACTGTGCATTGTGTGCGCGCATCGCTATTCAATCACTGTGGCCCCACTGTGCCCTCTGCCATGTTGCGTCGCTGCGTTGTTTGCATCGAGCGGAGGCCAAGGTTGTTTCAGTTTGCTGAATAATATTATTGCCGCTACCTCACCTTCTTGCCATTCGCCGCGAAAATCGAGAGGCAGGTAGAAATGCGAGGAGAGAACTGAGAAAGAAATTCCGAAAACGGTTCGCGGCTGGCGATTTTTTGCATTTATTTTGAACCTGCCCAGGTTTGCGGCATTTTGTATCCGCACATCTGTATCTGAATCTGTGTGGGTACCAGTATCTTTACCCCATATCCATCGCATGGGGCTCGCATACCGGTCTTCATTCTATCCTGATATCGTCGGTGTCTGTTTGTTGTTTACAAAAATACGCGCCTGCCTCTCGCGTTTCTCGCTGTTCTTTCCCTTTCGCCTTTTATTTATTTTTAGTGTCTTAATTTATCTTTTCACTGGGCTTGATGAAAATGCGCGGGCCACAGAAATGCGATCCCAGGTGCCGAGGAAATGGTAACTAACAGTGGGTTAGTCGAAATAAAAGCTTCCGGAACAATTGGTGTTTAGTTTTACAAGCCAAATTTGTCATTATATTTCGTGTATAAATGTAGTTCTCAAGTAGTAATCATATTTATAACACACAGCAAATAAATATTTAACTTATTAAGCTCGTTTAACTATTATTTTCAGTTTGGCTCACTGTGCACTTCACAAAGTGCAAGTTCTCAGCTGCCAGCTGCATTTCCCAACCGGCTGATTGTTTGAAAATTTGCATGAAATTCCAATAAATATGTCATACTGCAGTTACCCCAATTTAGGTGCAAGAAGTTCCCAGCCCATTACATTTGGGGTTGATCGGGGTGTATTAGACTGAGTACTAAGGGTATGTTAATATTATAAGTTCGATAAGGAAGTGAGAATGCTCACAAAAAATGCAGCATGTGGCAAGTTCGATTCTGAGGTGAACGCAATTGCTTGAAGATTTTTAATCTAGTCGTAAATGCACGGCAATGATTTCAATGATTTGTCTGCTTGGTCTGACGTAAGAGTTAAGATTATAAGCAATTCATTTAGTAGCCGGTTCAAAATCGTTAATTTCAGAGATTAAATTTTAGGGCTGTTGCCATTTTTATTGTGGGGATATCGTGAATTTAATTAACTTTTGAAAACAAACGCACAAAATTCAGCGGCTTTGAATAAATCATAACACCATATAATATTGGTATCATAAATGTTAAATGTTGTTTGCATATCTGCACTTAATCACTTATGCAACATGGCCTCAATTTTTGGTGACCTATTGACACAGAACTGAGAACTTCTCGTTAACAGTTAACAGATTTTCACCCGAAACGCTCGACACTTTTCTCCGCTCGTTCATATTTATGAGCGGCACATTCCCAATGCAAACTCTTAAAAATTCATATCTAATCTCAGGCACTTCCCCTCACCAAACATTTTCCAACCCAGCTCCCTTGTAAAGGGCTTTAATTGGCCGGAGGAATTTCAGCAACATTACATGCAGCTTGTGGGCCATGTGGACAAAGCGAATAGTTATACAACAGGCCAGGCAAATTTATGGTTCATATCCAGGTCAAAGCCCAGCCAAAAAACAAACGAACTTGTTGGCACAGCACCTTCATAAAGATATCAGCTAAACTTTGAGACGAACAGGTCTCCAAATGTGTCAAAAGCCAAAAAGTCGCCGGACGGCGCTCTGTGGCAGTCTTCAGTGTCCAACGTCAGCAAATGCATAAAATAGCCATAAACTCTTATTTACTATGCTTTTCCTACAATGCCTGCGACTCAGCCAGTTTTATTCGCCGAGCGCCGCTCATTTGGTTATTAGTCAGTCGCCGGTTTTAGTTCGAACCATTTGCATACTAAATGAGCAAAGAAGCAATTGGTAAAACTATTTGGTTTTGAGTGCAGTCGCTTTCTCTTACGGTTCGACCTCATCCGAAAAAGGGAGTTTTTTGGGGGCTTCCCGGAGCGAAAGCAGCTCCTTTTTGCTGCGCATCCCAGAGATTCGGATGGCACGCACCTTACGCGCAGCCCCACGCAAAATTTGCACAGAAGCAAAATGTGTGTGTGGGGTATATGCACCTACACAGAAAAAACTGGTCTGGTCGTCCCACTTATTTTGTGTCAGATGTCAATACTATAACAATGTCCATATGATGTTAATAGGTTATAATTAGAATACAGAGCACCTCTTCAAATATATAAAAGAAATACATCGCTTTAGAATATTAATTAGCTTGAACTCTTTACTGAGTTTTTTAACAAAAAAATTAAGTTGATAACAAATTTTTGTTTTCATTTTCAAGGAAATAGAGGCAATATGCAGTTTTAAGAATTTTAAAAGCAGATTTATAGAAACTTTCTTGCACACAAATTTCTATTTTCACTGAGAACCAAATCGGAAATATTTTAAGAATTTAAAAAACAATTTTTTTGACCTCAAAAGTACAAAGCCAAGCTTTGTTGTTCGATTGGGTTTCCCGCAGTGTACATAATGTATTTGCAGCTATGTACGCACTCACATTAACTGCAGCCGCCGCAGCAGCAGACTCGGGTTGGGTCACCATCCTCCTCATCCCGATCCCAGCCCGGGGCTTAACACTTTGCCACTTGGCGTATCTGGACCCGATAATCATCGTCTTGGCCAGCCCGCGCCCCCTTACCACTCCCTCGGTTTCATTACGGGATTATTAGAGGTGGGTGGCCTGGGTGGGTGGCCTGCAGCAGCTGTCGCCGCCTTCTTGGGCACAGCCACTGATATTTCGGTATACTACTTAGCCCGTGCACTAAATGGCGGGACAAGTGCCTTCCACCAGGAGGAGGGGCAGTGGCAGTGGCAGCTTGGAAAAGGGAGAGGGGAAGGGTAGAAGGAAGGAGAAGGGGGGTGGGGTCGCCAGGGGGTTGCTGTTGCTGCTGATAGCGCGACAACGAGGTTGAAACTCGGTTTCGGGTTTTATTTTTTCTTTTTGTGCGCCCGACTTTCAGGATTGCAGGGGTGAAGGGCGAGGGGTTGGCCGCTTTTCAGTGTGTGTTCTGCGCAAATGAAAAGTGGATGAAAGGAGCACATTTCCGGAGCTCGCGACACTACCACACTCTCCTAACGGAGTACACACAGACACACACACACACACACAGAGGCGACGACGAGTCGAAACGAGGACAGGCGCAGGCTTTGGAAACGGCAATTGACTGCGGCTCCACCACCACCCCCCTCAAAGCCGCCCACTCCGCCCCCTGGATGCACATGCGTACAACTATCTGGTGACTTTTGCCAGCTTACTTTTCTGGGAATTAATTTCGCATACATTTTGAACTTTAGAACATACCTGCTCGGAATACGCCTGGAACTGCAGCCTTAAATCCATTTGTACTATGAGTTCCAGAAGCTTTAATCAATTTATTATCGAATCGCGTTTTGCTTAACACTTTTCACAGAGTTTTCGGGGGTTTCTGGATTTTTCGACCAGCTACTTTTATTGTTTTTTCAGCAGCCATGATAGTTGCATGGCCAGGGATCAGGTCGCAGCCTCCTGCAGGATAATGGCTGCTCTGCCCGCCTCTGCTGCAGCGACGCCGGCAGAGGCAGAGGCAGCGAAAGAAGCAGTGGCAGAAGCAGCGGCGGGCGATGGCCGCCTTTCCTCTGCGAGCAGAACGCTCAACGTTCCGCCGCGCTCGGCGTCAAATTTCAAACTGAAACTGAAGTGAGCTCAGCTCACCATTTCAGCGCAGTCGACGTCCGCCGAGCGGTAAGCGGTGTTTTCGCCAAAGTTGATAACAGCCCGCTCTTCCCCTCTCCCTCTGCCTCCTCCCCTGATTCGTTTCCCTTCCACGGGATCTGGATCTGGGTCCGGACCTGGGTTGTATGTGGCCCTAGTCGCAACTCCAGGGAGAGAATCGGGCCAGGAACGCCGAGTGGAGAGCCCGCGAAGAGCACAAAGTGCCGAAGAGAGCCCTTCTACCACACTCGAAGAAAAGTAACTAAAACGTTTTTATTTGAACGGCTGCTGATTGTTAGCATTTCATTATTAGAGGAAGGTGTATTGCCTTGGCTACGAATGAGTAAAACAGCAGCGGATAATTAGCTGATATTCCAGAGGCACAGTAATATTAGCTCTGTATTATTTCATTCCAAATGTTATACAATTTTGTGTCACTGTACTAGATTGGTTTGAATGAAAGTTTCTCAGTTTCTATCACTTGAAATATTATACTTCAAGTTAGCTTTTTTATTGGGTAATTTATAGTTTCCTTGGTTTGTTAAAAATATACATATTTCTCTCAGCTTAATATATTTTTCTAAGCAAACTGTTGTTCTTGTTTTTTACAAGTAGCAAGGCAGTCATTGACAGATTTGGTTGTAACTATGTACCTATCTAAATTATAAAAGTTCTAAAGCTTATCTGGAAAGTTAAAATAAATAAATGAGGTTTATTTGCTTAATATATATTACCTTACTAATTTTCTAAACCGCCGTTGGCAGTTTATATCGTGAACGGATTTAGGTGTGATCATTATCCATTAACTTAAAAGGAGCGTCACGTGAGAAGCAATACATCCTTTTTTATTATTATTTATTTTCCTTTCTTTCTTTATGGAGTTGTTTGTGAAGTGTAGCAACTCCTGTTCTAAGTTTTCCAGGGCGCAGACATGTGTGTTTGTATTGCGGAGGGATTGAGCACAGCCAGCTCATTTGTAGACTTTTGTGGACCCTGTTTCCAGAGTTCTCAGTTGCCCAATGGATGCGAGTGTGTGTGCGTGGGAGGACCTCGGTTCGCATGGCGATTTACGAGGGCAGCGTAGCCATCCCGTACATAAGAACACATCTATTTCCCCGCCCAACTCCCCCAGGACCTTTTCGCACTCTCCACCGAGCTGAGAGTCAATGAAACTTCTTTGTCGGAGGAGCGGCGGCGAGAACGCTCCGCGTGTTTTCAGAATGAAATCAAAGTGGGATATTTAAAGCCTCATTAATCAGACCGTCGCTTGCTGAGGAAAATCCTCGCTCTGGGAGACTCGAGGTCCTCGAGAGGTCCTAAAGGACCCCATTCATCGGGGAGCGGGATTAGGGCTGTGGGCGGAGTCTGGTGTTGATGCGCTCGTTAAATTCAAATTTGTTGCACTGATAATTACACCTTTCGCCTTCGAAGGGGACACCATTAAGTGTGGTCCCTGGCCAACTCGGTTACGAAGAAAAGTACAATATGTTTATGTTTCCCAAAAAAGAACTGCAAATAAACCCACCTTAACTTTCTTTGAGTTGGATTGTAAAATAAAAAATCAGGACACCCACAAATAAATAATGTTTTTGTTTCAAGAAACTTACTCTTACTATTCTGAGTAACGACTGATTACTAGTAGTGTAAACCATAAAATAAATTATTATTTTGGTAATTGTTTTTTTCTTTAGTTCTTCCTGGATCAGAAACAAATTTGATATATCGTCTTGGGGCTTAAAATATTTAACAGTAAATCAGTGGCTACTATTACATTTTATAATACGTTTATCAATGGATACAATTACATTTTTAAAAATATAAAATTACGGTTATCTTCTCCTCGACATACATTGCTCATATACTCGATAGACAGATGCAATTTCATAAGAAAATGTTAAATTTCGCCATTCGGGATTTCGGAAACTGTCATAAACGGCAAAGGAAAATATGAAATGTGAAAAGCAAGCTGTTTTCGGCTCCGACGCGGGAACCCATTATTGTCCAATTGTTGTTTGCCATTTTTAATTTATGGCCCATATATCCTTTGGATTTCTTTTTTATGCAATGGCTACCTGAAAAGGAACCGAGTTTCTTTCTTTCTGTCCAACAACAGGTAAAAGGTCGCTAATGGTCGCAGCCTTGGTGGAATTTCTTTCTACCATATCATCCAACGTCATGGAACAGTTTTGAAAACGTCTCTTGACTTTGGTTTATCATCTAAATATTTGCGTTTGTTTAGTAGATTAGCATGTAGACCAAACGTTTTCTCCCTGCTTTTATTGTTGCATCGTGAGCGGTGGGGCAATTTGATGATTCGTCGTAATGAATGCTAATTAAACGCATTCGTTTTCTAGTTCACTTGCCAGGCGGCAACAAACAGCCAGCATCCAAGTCCGTCGCTAAATCGACCAGAGCCGCCACGATTCGGAATCGGTACATACTATATGTACCCGATTTCCTTGGTTTCGGCGGGGTATGAAAGTGTGTCAAAAATTCTTGAGCGTATCCAGACGCACAGAAAAAAAAACTACTGAAATTAATATTTAAGTTTTTCGTATATAAAAAATTAAAACATCTTATAAAAAAATTTGTTATTTTTATCAAAAAGTTCTTGTCTTATTTCCAGTATTAAAAGTATATTTCCTAGTGTCTTCGAAATACACAAAACAAAGTTTACTTGCACATACTAAGCAAATTGGATTTTTCTCTGTGCTTTAAAGACGGTTAACAATAAAAGCCGAGCTCTCCGTTTTGCCGACGGAGTCGGCAAACATTGCGCTCACACAATCTCTATCTAAAACTCTTAGACACATATCCGTGGAGTGGTAGAAAAGTAGACACGGTAGTAGATACAAAAAGCAGAGGAACGTTGTACAGCACACAATTTGGGTATATCCACATCCACGATGTCGACAGTAAATGAAAACACAAATAAAAGGTGCTAATTTCATGAGGGTTCAATTAGATGCTGGCCTGGATGCTCTACGATTTCTCCGCGTCTTTCCAGTTTCATCTCCCAGCTATGCACGACTTGCTACAACTCTAAAATGATTGAAAAATTGCATTAAATATTTCAAAACAGAGGAAAAAGTAAAAAAATTAATAAGAAATAACTAAACGGGTGCTCGGGCGACCCTGGGCTAAGCCCTGGATCCTGGGAATAAAAGTCCAAGGCGATACCGACAGATTAATATCAATATTCAAATATGTATGTGTTCTTTTTATAAATTCTGACGCCTGATCAGAAATAGTCCCGTCCCTTAAGGGGTTACATGGGTTTCCTCGGGTAAAAAACGGCCTTTTTTCAAACATTTTTTTTGCATATAAAAAATGAAATATTTCAATGAAACTTTTTATTATTTAATAGATACATATTTAATAAAGATTTTGTGAAATTTTCAAAAAAAAATATCAAAATGTCGGCCATTACGACGCCATTTCCGCCAGTCCCTCGGAAAAAGGTGCCTCCGCGTTGTCAGCAGAACTTCTTTCAGGATCATCCAAAGTAAAAATAAAAAATACGTGTTTCAGTATAGACAATAAACTAGGTATTGGACGAAGGAAAAAAAAAAAATGAAAATTGGATTTTTGGCAGACGTTTTTACAAAAAAATGCAAATTTCGATGAAAATTTCTCGACATTTTTTTTTTTTTAAATAGTTGTAATTGAAAAAAAAAAATCCTTCGTTCAATACCTTGTAAATGATATCTCGAATACTTGTGTAAAATTTCATTAAGATCGGTTGAGTAGTTTGCGAGAAATTTTGACAACCGACTTTGAAAACATAGTTTTGAGAAAAACGCGTTTAAAGTTTTAAGAGACAATAAAAGTGGTCTCAAGCGTCCACCTTCTCAAGGCTGTATCTCCGAGACTATTACTCGGATCAACTTGAAAATTTAGGACAATATTCTAGAAATGTTATAGAATTTAATAAGACAAAAAAATCGATTTTTTGAAACCGTGAAACCCATGTAACCCCTTAACCACTTCAAAAACTTCACCGACAGGAAAACGGAAGAAATTTTTTTGGTTGCTGGTTTTTCCTATTTTTTAAGCTTGCAGCGCTAGAAAATGATCACGCATTGGTTTCACAAAGAAACTACCCAGCAGAAATAATTATTAATTCATTTTCAATTAAAAGCTAGCCTGGATGCCGGACGATTTTTCAGCCACTTTCCAGTTCCGTCTCTTAGCTATGCGAAACTTGCTTTAAATCGGAAAAGGTTGAAAAATCGCAGAATTTTAATCTTATTAGAATAAAAAATTAAAAAAAAAACAGTTAAATTAAAAAAAAAAAAATAAGTCGCCCGAGCAGGGACTTGAACCCTGGACCCTTGGATTAAAAGTCCAATGCTCTACCGACTGAGCTACCCGGGCAGCGACGTGTCTGATTCCGGCCCGAATAAGAGCGAAACGTGCAAGGTAGAACTTAAATACATACACATACATAGCAAGTTCTTAAAATACCTTGATATGCACGAAAGCAGTACAAAGCAGTACATTAAAGCTCTGTCGCTTTAACAAGCAATAAAGTTTTAGGAACGTATGAGTTCTAGTATTTATACCCTTCCATGAAGGAGACACCTCAAACCCCATAAAGTACATATATATAATATATTCTTGATCAGCATCATTATCTTAAGTAATCTAGACTTGTTGGTCCGTCCGTCCGTCTGTTTCCATGATAAAACTTGGGTAGTTATTTGGATAGATAGGAGAGATCAATAAAATTACGGGAACAAAAATTATTACGTTGCTTTTTTATCACATCGACATGATGTTTTTTTTATATACCATAGGATAATCGAAAATTATTCGTTAAAATGATAGAAAATTAGCAAAAAAAAAAGTCAGCCTAATCGGCTTTTTATACAAAAAAAACCGTTTAATATATTAATACATATTCAGTAAACCAGGTCACAACCAGGTTTCTCTATTGTACTGCTTG